GAATCCATCTTCTCGGTTGAAATTGTCTCTGTGCTTGTATATGTGAATGGCCTCATGAACGAATCTCTCATGGTAGCCGGTTGGTTTGCAAAGAACCTCCGTCTTGGAGAAGTCAATGTCATGTGAGCCCACTGAATTATAACAGTGATCTGCCACGGCAGAGGAGTTCGTTCTACCGTGTTTCAAGTCTGCTTTATGTTCGCAGATGCGGTCCGAGATATGTCGTTTGGTTTCTCCAATGTAGCTACTACCACAGAGGTACTTTAGTTTGTAAACGCCCAGGTACTGTATGTCTGGAACAGCATCTTTTACAGATGGAACTAAATCACGGATTTTATGTACTGTGTTGAATCAGACCTGGATCTTGTGTTTATTCAGGATTTTGGAGTTCTTTTTAGTGACCCCTGCAATGTAGGGTAAGGTGATGGTTTTGAGTGGCTCCACAAGAGGATCCTTCTTCATGACTGGAGTGATGGCTTTGCGGATTGTGTAGTCGGAGTAACCATTAGCCCTGAGAGCCTGGTGTACGTGCTTGAGTTCATTGGTAATGTGTTCCTGGTCGGAAATGCATTGGGCTCTATGGTATAGAGTCTTGATGAGGGAGTTCTTCTGGGATGGATGGTGGTGGGAATCCGGTTTCAAGTAAGCATCTGTATGGGTAGCTTTCCTGTAGACAGAGTGGCTCATTGAACCATCATGTCTCCATTTAATTAAGACATCCAAAAAGGGTAGTTTGCCATCTTTTTCGACCTCCATGGTAAATCTGATGGCTGGGTGTATGGAATTGATGTGGTCGCGGAATTGGTCTAGAGCAGGCTGGCCATGTGGCCAGATGACAAAGGTGTCATCCACGTACCTCTTCCATAAGGTCGGGCGTAGAGTGGCAATCTGGATGGCGTCAGTTTCAAATTTTTCCATGAAAACGTTGGCTACAACCGGAGATAGGGGGGAGCCCATTGGGGTGCCCTCAGTTTGTTTGTAGAAAGTTCCATTCCAGGTGAAGTATGTGTTGGTTAAGCAATGTCTCACCAGGGGGGGTACATTAGTATGCAGTCCGTGATGAACCAGGTCTTCAATAATAGCGATGGTGTCAGGTACCGGGACTTTGGTGAACAAGGACACCACATCAAAACTGACAAGCAGGTCGTCTGGGGACAGGGAAATGCCTTTGATTGTCGATACCAGGTGAGTAGAATTTAGTACCGCAGAGGTGGTTTTTCCAGTGAAAGGTCGCAGTATATCAGCAAGAAAACGTGCCAGTTTATAGGTGGGGGAGTTGATAGCAGAGACGATGGAACGAAGGGGTGTATCTTCTTTGTGTATCTTTGGAAGGCCATATAATCTTGGTGGTCTGGCAGCAGAGGGTTTCAACGAGAACTGTTTGATCTCATCAATTAATGCTGTTGAATCAGAGATGATTTTGTTCGTTTTGGTAACCAGGCTGTTGGTGGGATCTCTTTTTATTTTTGTATAGCTGCCATCGTTGAGTAGTTCTTGAATTTTGTTGTTATATTCTGTTTTGTCCATGATGACAGTGGCATTGCCCTTGTCGGCTGAGAGGACGACAATATCATCCCTCTTTTTTAATTGAGATAATTCAAAACGTTCGTCTTTGCTGATGTTGCTGGGTGGCAACTTAGCGTTTTTGAGGGTTTCAGCGATTTCAGATCTTGCTACGTCTGCAGAGATGTGACTCAAGCCCTTGAGTGCAACGTCGACATGGGCAATGATATCATTAACCGGTAAGTGTCTCGGTGTGACAGCAAAGTTTAGACCTTTAGCTAAAACCTTATGGAAGAGGTACGTGGATGACACCTTTGTCGTCTGGCCACATGGCCAGCCTGCTCTAGACCAATTCCGCGACCACATCAATTCCATACACCCAGCCATCAGATTTACCATGGAGGTCGAAAAAGATGGCAAACTACCCTTTTTGGATGTCTTAATTAAAAGGAGACATGATGGTTCAATGAGCCACTCTGTCTACAGGAAAGCTACCCATACAGATGCTTACTTGAAACCGGATTCCACCACCATCCATCCCAGAAGAACTCCCTCATCAAGACTCTATACCATAGAGCCCAATGCATTTCCAACCAGGAACACATTACCAATGAACTCAAGCACGTACACCAGGCTCTCAGGGCTAATGGTTACTCCGACTACACAATCCGCAAAGCCATCACTCCAGTCATGAAGAAGGATCCTCTTGTGGAGCCACTCAAAACCATCACCTTACCCTACATTGCAGAGGTCACTAAAAAGATCTCCAAAATCCTGAATAAACACAAGATCCAGGTCCGATTCAACACAGTACATAAAATCCGTGATTTAGTTCCATCTGTAAAAGATGCTGTTCCAGACATACAGTACCCGGGCGTTTACAAACTAAAGTTCCTCTGTGGTAGTAGCTACATTGGAGAAACCAAACGACATATCTCAGACCGCATCCGCGAACATAAAGCAGACTTGAAACACGGTAGAACGAACTCCTCTGCCGTGGCAGATCACTGTTATAATTCAGTGGGCTCACATGACATTGACTTCTTCAAGACGGAGGTTCTTTGCAAACCAACCGGCTACCATGAGAGATTCGTTCATGAGGCCATTCACATATACAAGCACAGAGACAATTTCAACCGAGAAGATGGATTCTGGCTTAGTAACCATTGGAAAAATGTTTTAAACCATTTCCGTTCTAAATTAATTGTATTTTACGATGACCTTCAGACCGCAGCTCTTTTGCCAGCATTGACTCTTAATACCTCTCACACCACGGTTAATGGTATGGTTTACAACATGGAGTATAATAGCGCCTCGCAGCTGTCTCTCTCCCCCTCCTCTGTTCCGACCATGGATGAACTCGTCCGTCTGAACGGGGCCCGTAGCTATCCATGTTGCTAAAGTTGAGGGTAAGAATCCACCCATTTTTTCGCCATATAGCACTGTGATATATAACGACTTATTGTTGGTAGCTTAGCTGATTGGAGAATATAGAGTTTATTGATAACATTAAGGTAATTTATACTTTAGTTTTTTTATTGGTTCACTATATAGTATTCATTATATATTGTATTGTATACCCAGTTACTGTGAATAGCTCAGATGTGTAGGCCTTGACTTCAACATAGCCATTTCTGTGACCAGTCACTAGCTAATCACTCAGTTATTTCAATGCTAAATTCTCCTGTTTGATTTGTACTAGGTGCCTCGGTGAATGTGTATGCTCTGACTTTAACATAGCTATTTCTGTGACCAGTTACAAGCTAATCACTCAGCTATTTCAATGCTAAATTCTATGCTAATTCCTTTGTCAAGGGGTGCCTCTGCGGATGTGTATGCTTTAACTTTAACATAGCCATTTCTGTGACCAGTCACAAGCTAATCACAGCCATTTCAATGCTAAATTATATGCTAATTCCTTTGTCAAGGCGCTTTGTTTCTTCTCACACAGCTTAAAGGTCGTGATCTGAGCGTGGCTTTTTCACTCCAGCGCTATCCTACTAGACAGTCTCGTCCCTTCACCTGATGAAGGCCGCTTGTGTTGTGGCCGAAACGTCGTGAGAATATTATTGTGTTATTTTATTTTATCAATTTATTATTTTATTCTCATTCTACGTGACTTTACCGAAAGAACCAAAGAAGATTAATCCTTGCAGTCACGAAAGCTTTAAATCGAAATACCTCGACACTTTCATTAGAATATTTCGAGCGGTTCATATTTTGATGGGATCACGTGGTAATGCTCCATCACACGTTTTAAATCTATTACGCAGTGAATATTGAACTGATGCTTGACTTAAATTAATTTTGATCACAAATCAAATCAAATCGCAATATCTGTCAGAAAAATCGCAATTAGATATTTTCCCCAAATCGTTCAGCCTTGGTTCACAGACGGCGCAGTGGTGAGGGGGCGGGGCGTGGGGGGAGCGCGTGGGGGTGCGGGTAGAGGGGGAGGGGTCATGTGGTGACGTCAACGCGTCGGGGGGGGTACGTGGTGACGTCACAGGCGCCGATGACGCAGCAGCAGATAACTTGAACGGCGCGGACATTGATAATTGTTTTTTTACCCTTTCATCTGGCAACAAAACTGACACCTTCTTGACAAGGAGTCATGTTTGCATTGACCACAATACCTGCGGTTGGAATGCAAACAAAAAACATAACTCTGATAATGTATTGGCAGTCCTTGAAATCGATTGCTCCACACCCGAGACAGCTTTCCTTAGAGCACAGTCTCACATGGGTGTTGGACCAGATGACGTCAAAAGGCGCAGTGGTGAGGGAGCAGACATTATTGTCGCCTTTTGTGTTTGGCGCCGTCTCTTTGTTTATTAATTTGTAGATTTAATTTGCTTGCCGGTGGCTGTGCAGATGATTTGGTCCTCGTGTTTAATGAATGGACAGTGAGCACGAATGACGCTGTACACAACGACATTGCTGTTGTTGTTGTGTTCTGTATTTTTTTATTGTAGAATCGACGATACAAGCGTTACGATGCCACACACCCCCAGTGTATTGTTCACCATTACTAATCACTGCCCCCCTATCAATTACACCACCCAGTGTATAAACACATCCCAGTTCACCATTGCTAATAACTGCACCCTATCAATTACACCACCCAGTGTATAAACACATCCCAGTTCACCATTGCTAATAACTGCACCCTATCAATTACACCACCCAGTGTATAAACACATCCCAGTTCACCATTGCTAATCACTGCACTCCTATCAATTACACCCCCAGTGTATAAACACATCCCAGTTCACCATTGCTAATCACTGCACACCTACACTACAGTCACACTCCTCTGGCAGGGTGAATACATCCACGCTGGCTTCACACACACACACACAGAGCGGTACTTATTTTATCAACCCCCCTCTAGCCCCTAGAAAGGTTGTGAGGATTGTTTACGCTCAGCCCCCCCCCCCCCCGTTCTGACGGACAGCCACCAGCCAGTGGAGTGGCGGTGACGAGGATGCCTGGCGTCGTGGCGTCTGCCCTCTGCGCTGTTCGCGTTCACCTCTCTCAGGACGCGCCACTCAGATCCACGATCCTCACTGACCCACCAAATGTAGAGTGCGACATCACAAGCTCCACAAACCCCAACCACCCTACTCCCAGCCCCACTCCCAACCCAGGGTGTAGGGGCTGAGTGAATGTTTGGTGAAACGAGTGCAACAGCGCCATGGAGTCTGCGCTGTAAAACGACAGCAGCCCCGCGTCCCAGTCCAGGTGGACCCCGACTCTCCGCGGAGGTTCCGGCACCGACAGTGACGTCACTACCCCGCCATGCCGCACTGAGAATCTGGAGCCACGTTTCAGTAGACACCAGGAGACGTCGCTCCCTCCCAGGCCGCACTCAGCACCACGCCCTCTCCGTGGGATCGTCCCGTACGCGACTCCAACATCACACGACCACGAGCTCCCCACATCCACCTCCCAGTAGTGCTGACCCGACGAGAGGCTCTCAGAGCACAGCGCTTGTGACCAGACATCAAAGCGGTGTGGGTGATGGGGGCGACCCTGGGGGACATCGCTCACCGTCACCGTCCTGAGATCCGAGGAAATCCGGAGGCCGTCGTGGGCTGAGTTTGCGTCCAGAGTCGGTGAGCGTCCATCTGTGGCGAAGACAGCGAAGACGCCCGCACAGCGGTCACGGCGACGCGTGCGCAGTAGCGGCACGAGCAGTGCACGTGACGTGTACACACACACAGACACGTGGTGTGTACACACACACACAGACACGTGGTGTGTACACACACACACAGACACGTGGTGTGTACACACACAGACACGTGGCGTGTACACACACAGACACGTGGCGTGTACACACACAGACACGTGGCGTGTACACACACAGACACGTGGCGTGTACACACACAGACTCGTGGCGTGTACACACGCACAGACACGTGGCGTGTACACACACAGACACGTGGCGTGTACACACACACAGACACGTGGCGTGTACACACACAGACACGTGGCGTGTACACACACACACAGACACACATGTGGCGTGTACACACACACAGACACACATGTGGCGTGTACACACACACAGACACGTGGCGTGTCCACACACACAGACACGCTGGTGTTGTATGTTGTGTTGTTGTGGGCATACTGCAGTACGTGATACGTTGATACGTAACACTGAGTATCACGCGTATGACAAATGCTTACAGTACTGGTACTCATTAGTATTTGTGTACACATACTAATATTTGTCAGTATTAGTGTACACATACTAATACTCGTTAGTATTAGTGTACACATACTAATATTCGTTAGTATTAGTGTACACATACTAATATTAGTTAGTATTAGTGTACACATACTAATATTAGTTAGTATTAGTGTACATATACTAATATGCGTTAGTATTAGTGTACACATACTAATATTCGTTAGTATTAGTGTACACATACTAATATTAGTTAGAATTAGTGTATACATACTAATATTAGTTAGTATTAGTGTACATATACTAATATGCGTTAGTATCGCCTCTCTTTACAAACACGACGCCTGTACAATAGCCACCACAGACACTCTGTCACTCCACTGCTGGATTAGCGCCTCCCCGCGCCGTGCGCGTCCTGGGGGGTGGGGTAGTTATTTGACCATACTTCACCGCTCTCGTCGGCGCGCATTGCCGATGGTGGGGATGGTGAACGTAGGAGCGTAGAGGTGCAGTACAACAGTGGTTCACGCTGCGCTGCCCTCTGTTGACCACCCCGTCACAACGGTGTAAAGTTTTTACTCGAATTAAATTAATTTCGATGCCCGAAGATCTCCAGGTCCTCTGCTGTTGCCCCTCCACATTTAGGAACGCGCGTTCAGAGTACTCGGCTGCCGCTATAAGTGTCCACACGACCATGACGATGACGATGATGACGACGATATCAGCCTCTGCGTAGCGAAAGGCGCAATGCGCTACGAACCCGGCGACCCGAGTTCGATTCCCGCTCACGGCCAACACCGGAGACTATCATCTGATCCGGTCCTGGGCTTCGTTAGGTCGACTCAGCCTCAAATGAGTACCTGGTGCAGTGTGTAAACGTCGCCACTAGGGAGACAAAGGCGGCCAGGCGTGGTGCTGGCCACCCACCCCCTCGTGTACCGTGCCGGCCTTCATAGGTGCTCGCTAACAGCACTTGCCCCTACAGTCTGTTAAGGCTACACGGGGTTCTTTGCTTTTGGGTTAGTCAGGGAGTGAGTGGTTGTGTGGGTGATCGAGTGGTTGAGTCGGTGAGTGGGGGAGAGAGTGACTGGGTGAGGTAGTGAGAGTGTGAGTGATTGAGTGGGTGGATGGGTGGGTGGATGGGTGGGTGGGTAAGTGAGTGGGCGAGTAAGAGTGTGAGTGGATGGGTGGGTGAGTGAGTGAGTGGGGATTCTTACAGTGGAACTCTGGGGCCCAATCACTTACATTCCGTTGCACCTGTTTAAGTCCCAGGTTGTGAAAGCTGCCATCGCGATGATGATGAAACAGATGCAGTCTCCATCCTGCACTTCGTTTTTTTATGTTCACAGTTGAATCCCAATATATATTATTATTTTATTGTTTCCCTTCAACGTGACTTTACCGAAAGAGCTAAGAATATAAGGTTACTTACCCTTTGGGTCTTTTGGTAAAGTAACGTAGATAGCAACAAATTAATAAAAATAATGCATTTTAAATAAACATATTTATTATTAGAGAGACATGAACCCTCATAATTAAAAATATATATATAAAGTAAACGTATTTATTCGTTTTATAAATTTGTACCTATCTACGTGACTATACCGAAAGACCCCAAGTGATATGAATTCCTGCAGTCACGAAAGCTTTAAGTGGAGGTTACTTAACATTTGGGACTCACGTTCATCTTCATTCTCACCTCACGGCCACTTTCCTCAACGAACCGTGCACCCACTGCACCAACGCGTGATGGTGAGCGTCTGAATGAGGGTGACAAGACTGGGACGTGCTTCGTCCTTAGATTACAAAGTCGCCCTTTTGCTCTCAAGAAAAGCACCGTCACGTTGCTGTTGTTGTTTGCACCTCTTGATGAGCGAGACCCATCGTGCTGTTGACACTCTTTGACCCAGCACCTCGGTGCCCGTTTCATGACCTGAATGTACGCAGGTCTCCCTTGCCATGAATGCACTCAAGCCAGGGGTAAAATAAAGGACGACCTCCAAATGAGTAGGATTTTTCGGCAATTCGGAGTCTGTGATGGAGTCTAACGAAGATCGTCGTGGCAGAGGGACGTACCGAGAAAAGACAGAAGTTTAGTTCGGACGCCGCCCACTGAGATGAATTTTGCGAGGTTCAAACTGTGCGAGACGGGGGCTGGGTCATCCTGAGTCTCCTGGGAGACGGAGCTCCTCCTGCACTCACAGCACAGGACACACACAGAGTCTAATGAGGGTCCATGTCTCTCTAGACTCACAGCACAGGACACACACAGAGTCTCATGAGGGTCCATGTCTCTCTACACTCACACCACAGCATGACACACACAGAGTCTAATGAGGGTCCATGTCTCTCTACACTCACACCACAGCATGACACACACAGTCTAATGAGGGTCCATGTCTCTCTACACTCACACCACAGGACACACACAGAGTCTAATGAGGGTCCATGTCTCTCTAGACTCACAGGACAGGACACACACAGAGTTTTCATGAGGGTCCATGTCTCTCTAGACTCACAACACAGGACACACACAGAGTCTCATGAGGGTCCATGTCTCTCTAGACTCACAGCACAGGACACACAGAGTTTAATGAGGGTCCATGTCTCTCTAGACTCACAGCACAGGACACACACAGAGTCTCATGAGGGTCCATGTCTCTCTACACACACAGCACAGGACACACACAGAGTCCCCCAGCTCGCATCAATGTAATCGAAAATAAATGTTGTTTTCTATTTATGTGTCGGCATTTAAATGCGGTGCATTACTCTTTTCCGAACCATCCGACTTACGAACAAATTACGTGCGTAACCCGAGGACTGCCTGCATGGGATAAACTTGACCTATGAGATTACAACTGCATACATTTGGGTTTACAGTATTAGGATTCACATCACGACCTTCGATGATTTGGCCACCAGGTGGCAGACGGAGCTCGAGTTTGAGTCTGGGTTGGCAACGACCTGAGACTCTCATGCAGGGGATCCTGAAAAACACAAACACGCATTTCACATTAACGTTGACATCCTAAACAGATGCCCCACATCCACACAGTCACCTCCTGTTTACTGTAGAGCTTGACATCAAGGAATTAACAAATACCTACCAACGGAAAATGGTGCACGAACAGGAACCTAATTTCCAATATCTAAATTATAAATACAAAAATTAAGAAGAGGTTTTATCCTTCTTGGAAGTTAAAATAGGAGATGTTTAGATGTTCAAACCCCAAACAGATATTTATTGCAAGGCATCACTACTCAACCAGCGATATTCATTATTTGATACTTGACGCCTTTGTATTGTTAAGCCTATTCCTATTTTTCATCAAAAACAGTTGATTTAATTGGATACGGACAGACCCCAACAAATGACAAAGCCACTGTCTGCAGATCTAGCACCTAAACAAATTGTTAAATAAAAGTTCGACAACTCATGTTTCGAACTCTGAATAAACTCAACTTTGTATTTTACCAGATAAAGCACACTTGGCCATGTTGCTCTTTTTCAGAAGCGACCTGGCCACAAATGATAGCTCAACGAATTGGCTTATCACGTGGACATTTGCAGTAGCAGCCAAATACTTTAAACGCATGATGTTGATTCTAAATGTTGAGGGAGAAAAATCCACGCATCCACCAGGAGAGACACAGACGCAAACTCCAAATCTACAGCAGGCGTCAGGGTTGGTATCGAACCCACGACCTCCTGCATCCCAGGCGAGGTAGTTAACATCTCCTAGCCACCGTGGCGAGTGAATGGAGGTGGTGCCACCTGCAGGAATGTGAGCGGGTTCTGCACGGCGAGGGCGGCGAGCAGCTGGTTGATCTCCCGCTGCAGTCCGCGTGCTCTGCTCTCGTAGCGATCGATGTCCGCCTGGATGCGGGACAGCACGGAGCGGCCCTCCTCGTCCACGCGCTCCAGTGCCTCCCTCTCCTCCTCCCTCAGCTGCTCCCTCCGGCGCTCAAACTCTCGGCTGATCCGCGCCTTGGTCCCGCGCAGAGACTCCTGCGTGGGGATATTCGCGGCGCGCTCTCGAAACGCAACGCGAGGCAGCGCGATACGACTTCGTGAAGGACTTTGACACGGCCAAGGTCTCGTGACTCCATATGAAGAGGCAAGTGGCGTAATTTTTGCGAACAAAAGGAGGATTTAGCGATAATTTTCATGGGGACCCTTATGCCAAGTATCTTAAGGACCTATATTGTTTGCATGTCTGTCTAAATCTGCACGTGTCTGTGTGTGTGTGTCTGTGTGTGTCTGTGTGTGTGTCTGTGTGTGTGTGTGTCTGTGTATGTCTGTGTGTGTGTGTCTGTGTGTGGGGAGCGATAGTGTAGCGGTTAGCGCGCTGCGCTATGAACCTGGCGACCCGGGTTCGATTCCAGCTCACGGCCAACACCAGTGACGATTATCTGAACCGGTCCCGGGCCTCCCCTAGGTCGACTCAGCCTCAAATGAGTACCTGGTGCGGTGTGTAAACATTGCCACTAGGGAGACAAAGGCGGTCGGGCGTGGTGCTGGCCACCCACCCCCTCGTGTACCGTTCCGGCCTTCATAGGTGCTCGCTAACAGCACTTGCCCCTACAGTCTGTTAAGGCTATATGGGGGATCTTTGTCTTTGTGTGTGTGTCTGTCTGTGTGTGTGTCTGTCTGTGTGTGTGTCTGTGTGTGTGTGTGTGTCTGTCTGTGCGTGTGTGTGTGTGTGTGTGTCTGTCTGTGTGTGTGTGGTTGTGTGTGTATGTCTGTGTGTGTGTCTGTGTGTGTGTGTGTGTCTGTGTGTGTGTGTGTCTGTGTGTGTGTGCCTTTGTGTGTGTGTTTTTCTGTCCGGCAAAACAACCCCCAACCTCCTCGCGGTGCCGGATGGGCAACTCTGTCGTGGACAGTGCTGTGGGGGGAGGGCCAATTCCGATTGGCCCCTCCTCTCATGGCGTCTGTGACTACCACAGTGGCTAAACGGGGGCTCTGGACGGGTGCGAGGGGCTGGTAACCCCTCTACCTTCAACATTCTTACCACGAAACCACGAATAAAAAATTTAACTAATAAGCTTGTGTCGGAGGCCCCGGGGGACAGGCGTCTATGACGTCTCCTGGCCAAACCTCAATTGGTGGAGCCAGGAGATTGAATATCTACCCTCGGGGCTCCTCCAGAAACAACTAAAAGTCACTTCGTATGGCCACGTGGAATGTTCGAACGCTCACTGTGGATGAGAGGCTGCCACTCCTCTGTCGGGAGCTGGACCGGTACCGCCTGGATCTCTATGGCATTCAGGAGGTCAGGTGGACCGGTTCTGGCTCCTGCCACCATGAGGGGTGGACAGTCCTCTACTCGGCGAAGCAGACTGCAAAACAACAGGGTGTGGCTCTTCTTTTGAACAAAAGAATGAAGGGGCCGTCGGAGCGTGGCGGTGAGGTGTGGGAAGCTGTAAGCCCCAGGCTACTTTGGGGTTGCCTTCCCATCAATCGGAGGCGAGGAGTGGTGGCCGTGGTTACTTATGCCCCCACCGAAGACGAATATTCGTGTAGGGATGCAGGCAAAACCGATGAGTCACATGCCTTCTATGACCTCCTGTCACAGGTGCTGGCTAAAGTGGCCCCTCGGGATAGAGTCATCTTGTTGGGTGACTTCAATGCCCAAGTTGGTCATGATGCTGGCACCTGGTCTGGAGTGATTGAAGGGCATGGGCCAGATCAGCTCAATAACAACGGTAGGAGGTTGCTAGATTTTTGTGCAGCCATTGGCTTGTAATTACCAACACGCTGTTCCGGCATCAGCGCATCCACACAATATCATGGATGCATGCCGGGTCCAAGCAAGAACATCTGCTGGACTACATAGTGACGGACCAGCGGATGCGAGCCCATGTCCTTGACACCAGGACTTACAAGGGAGCTGATCTGCCCTCTGACCATCGACTAGTCATCTGTAAGATGCTCCTGCCATTCTTCCACTCCGGTGGTGGGTGTACACCCAGGACCCCATTCCAACCTAAAGTGGCCTGGTCTCAGTTATCTGATGAAAGTTGCAAGCGAGAATTTCATCATCGCTTGTGGCTGGGGTTGGCATCGTCCCCCACTCCTCCTGATGTCGAGGGTAAATGGGCGAGTTTTAGGACTCTGACTCATGCAGCTACAATGGCTGCTTTGGGTATGCGGTCCAGACCTCCCTAGAGACCCTGGCTGACAGAGGAGGTGTTCAGAATAGTTGAGAAAAAGCAACAGGCCCACTGTCATCGGCTACAGAATCCCACGTCAGAGAATGAGGAGGCTTACCGCAGCCTTTGTTCAGAGGTTCAGAGAGCCGTGAGGCGCTGCAAGGATGGGTGGTGGTGCAGCGCCACACCTATTACCATCATTAGGGGAAAAAAACGGTGATCCAATCTCCGACCCCCAGGAACAGGTTTGCAGATTTGCTGAGCATTTCTGTGAGGTCCTGGGGGAGGGGAAATCCCTCAGCCAGGAAAACATCATGGCACAAAGTGTGGATGACCCTGCTAAGGCTGCGGTGCCTCAAATATTGGAGGAAGTCACCCCCTGTGAGTGGCTGGCTGAGGTGCCATCTGTTGAGGAAGTACTGAAGGCAATCCGGAGTCTGAGACCAGGAAAGGCACTAGGCAGAGATGATCTCCGAAGCGAAATGCTGAGGGAGGGTGGCGTTTGTGCACAGACTGCCCTAAATGACATCATAACAACAGTCTGGACCACTGGACGGGTACCGCAGGATTGGAAGGATGCCCTGGTGGTCCCCCTCTTTAAGAAGGTGGACCGCACAGACTGTAACAACTACAGGGGAATCTCACTCCTCAGTGTGCCGGGAAAGGTCCTGGCAAGGATTATTCAACATCGCCTTGCCAGGCACGCTGAGGAAAGGCTTGCGGAGCCCCAATGCGGTTTCAGGAAAGGGCGGTCCTGCACAGATGCAATATTTTCTGTCCGTCTGCTACAGCAGAGGTGTAGGGAATTCCAGCAAGACCTACATCTCTGCTTTATTGACCTGATCAAGGTCTATGATACCATCAGCAGACCTGGGCTCTGGGTTGTTCTTCGTGCTTTTGGAGTCCCTGACCCTCTGCTCACGATCATTAAGGACCTTCATGATGGTGAGTGGGCCCAGGTAAAACTACGTGGCCGGGAGTCAGACCCATTCCCTGTACACCTTGGGGTGCAACAGGGATGTCCTCTGGCTCCCACATTATTTAACATCTATTTTGACCACGTAGTTCGTGAAGCCTTCAATAGCTGTACTGGGGGAATCTCTATTTGGTACAGATATAATGGGAGGCTGATCGATGCCCGGGTGCGGTCAAGGGATGGCTCCCTATTGCTCAACCACGTTATGTAAGCCGATGATTTGGAAATAGCTGCTCATTCAGAGGAGGAGTTGGAGACGCTGCTGCTGGGACTGGAGCGTGCCACTAAGAGATGGGGCCTTACCATCAGCCCCACCAAAACTAAGCACCTGCCTGGGTATTTTGTACCATCAGACACTCCACCCCCACAACTCCCAATCGGTGATGGGGCAGTTGTGGAGAGAGTGGAGAGTTTCCTATTCCTGGGCAGTGTGTTTATGACCGGCTCCAGTTTAACAAGAGAGGTCTCACTCCGAATCAGTCGAGCGGCAATATATTTTCATCGCTTGCGTAACGCTGTGTGGAAGCTACCTGGTCTGTTGCTCTGCACTAAGCTTCAGGTCTTCTCGGCCACGGTCATTCCCTCCCTTCTCTACACTTGCGAAACGTGGACCCCCTTAATATAACATCTTCGCCGGTTAGAAACATTTAGGCTAGCCTGCCTACGATCCATCATGGGTTTAACCAGGCTGGATTATGTGAGGAGCTCACAAATCCTTGAAAGATCTGGGCAAGGTCCCATTGGTGAGCTCCTCCGGCAGGCAAGGCTGCGTTGGCTGGATCATGTAGCCTGCATGCCCAGCCACCGCATGCCGAAACAGATTTTGTTCGGCCGGATGGAGGGGGCTAAATGGGCGCGGCACGGGCTAGAGAAGAGATGGAGTGACGTGGTACAGGAGGACGTGAAGCTGAGTGGACTTGCCGATGACTGGTACCAGCGGTGTCAAGATCAGCCTCTGTGGAGGAGGCTCATGAAGGACGCTATTGGGCAGTTGGAGGCAGTCGCCCTCCAACAACAACGGAGGGCGGAGGAGCGACGCTCACAACAATGAGCGGACCGCCGGATGGCTAAAGCACAGCAGGTTGGCACAGTAGGGGGCACTGGTGGTGCATCAGCCAGTCATCTCAGTCAGTCGACCCGTGGCACTTGGGTCTGCCCCGTGACCTTCTGCCCGCGGGCGTTCGACACTTCACGTGGCCTCAACGTGCACATAGCCTGGCACAAGCGTCGTGGTGACGTCACCGCCACTTAGTGGCGAATGGCGGTTATTGTTGTTGTCGTGTGTGTCTCTCTGTACCTGCACGCGATTGTAGTCACCCCTGAGCTGCCCTATCCGTGATTCTGCCGTAGTCTTCTTCTCCTCCCTCCCCGTCATCTCGTGTCTGAGCGCCTCCTATACACGGGGTAGACAAATACGTGGTGTTTGGTGACTCCCATCATTGTCATCATCATCATCTAGCCCATTGTCTTTAACCTGGAGCCTTGCAGGCAGGTTTCCTGGATCGCCCAGAGATAATCATCGCCCCTTTGAAACGTCCAACCTCCAAGACCACCTCGTCAGCCTTCGATAGGCAGTACAACAGTGCTGTCCCAGGTAGGTGGCCAGATCACAGCGAGGTTTATTGAAGGGGTGCCCCACTCGCACGCTCGAGTTTTCTCCAGTTTTTCCCAATGGATCTAGCGGCACCAATAACCATAACCCCCCCCCCTGAGTTATCCACGCCAACGTTCTGTCATGGAATGCAAATACGCGGCATCTATGTTAGAGGCGGTGTTTCATTTTTGACACGAACTCTTGTAACAGAATCAAATCTAAATCTGCTCCAATCAATCATAATAATAATGCAATTCATAACGCACGCAAATTTGCGGACGTAACAGCCGTAACTCAGTGACACGGAGCCATGCTCAGAGTTACTCGAAAGTGCAATTGTAGAGGTGAGATTTTACGTTTCTCTTGAAGGAGACGATTGAGGTGATGCTGCGTATGTGCAGAGGGATTGTGTTCCAGACAGTTGGGGCAGCCATCGAGAAGCGACGCATAGACGTGACCATCCTGGATCTTGGTATCAAGAGGAGGTCGTGAGTCGCGCTGCGAAGGCATCTGCCGTGTGCTGTGCTGCGAGTTGTCAATAATGAAGAGAGGTACGGGGGGCAGGCAGATGTGAAGGCGCGGTGGCAGAGGCAGGCGATCTTTTATGTGACCCTGCTGGCAATGGGTAGCCAGTGGAGGGCACGGAGACAGGCGAGTGAGTCGAGACGGGGATGAGTGTGGCCAATGATGACGCGTGCCAGGTTGTATTGTAGTCTTTGAAGTTTTGAGGTTGCCAGAGGAGGACCGGACTAGGATGGAGTTGCAATAGTCAAGGCGAGACCCAACTATGCAACATGCCAATGTGTTAGCAGTTTCAGTGGAGATGAGAGGACGTAGGTGCCTGAGAGGCTTCAGGTGAAAGTTACATGAACTGATGATATGATTGGTTTGATGGTCAAAGGATAAAGTTGAATCTAGGATGACACTGATGATCAAACCGTGCCCGACGGCATCACCTCTCCCACTGGAGTGGCCTTCCATTTGCCTCTTTGTAAGTCCACGGTCAGTGCACTTTTGAAGCGTCTCACGTTTGAAGCATCTCGCGTTACTCCACATTCCTCTCCGCCCATCGTTGGAACACCTCCCCGTGCGAATCTTATCAGGCCAAGTCTTTTTTTACATCTTTGCCAGCCATTCCACAAAGTGCTCTGTCTTATGACTAAACCATGGAACACCCAGCTTTGCCATCCATTCAAATCAACATGGCCACCTTCCGTGTCTCTGTTGTTTATCTTGTGCCAGTTTTCACAATCAGTGTTGCCCAAAGTGATTTGATTAGCCATCACAATGCTGACACAACAGGACTTACCTAAAGTCACGTAGATAGAAAAAAAATATCACGCTGTTTCAATCGCAACACAGGCAATCGTCATCAGGAGAAAAAAGTATTTAAGTCAAGATACAGACTCTCTAGTTTAACAATACAAAGAGTTCTGCAGTTACACTGCGGGATTTTGGATTATAGAAGCGATTTATATCTCACCTGTTTTGTCTGTTGTGCATGTTCCACTGGAACGACCTCATGCCCTCTATGTTCCCTAGCAATGATGCAGAGTGTGCAGACCGGGCGCTCGTCCTGTTCACAGTAAAGAATGAGCTCCTGTCTGTGCTGCCGGCACTGTCGCCCCACCAGGTTCTCGATGGGAGCCACCAGGACGTGGTCACTCAACCTGAGATTCTCCACGTGAGGCCTCAAGTGCGTCGCACAGAAGGACATCTCACATCTCAGGCAGGTCCTCACTGCAGGGGTCTGGCCATCACCGCAGTTGTCACACACGACGGCCGCGGCCATCGAGACTCCAGCTCTGAGCCGTTCGGCCAGGTTTGGCGAGGGGTCACGTTCCTCCTCAGCTGGGGTCGCACAGGGAACGCCGCTCGGCACCGCGGGCAGCTGAAGCCGCTCGACGTCTCCCGGGCAGCCTCCAGGCACCGCGGGCAGAACGAGCGGCCGCAGCTCAGCGTGGAGGGGCGGACGAACGCCTCCAGGCAGATGGAGCAGCGCAGCAGTGGCAGCAGTGGCTCGTTATCCACGCTGGGATCGCTCGCTGTGTGGCTCAGAAACGCTGATCCAGCACGTGTCTCTCATAGCAACGGTGAACAAGGAAGTAAAATTGCTTTAATTGTCGTCATTGACTTCACGATACACTCCCTGGAATTTGAACCCACTCACCCCAAGGTGCACAAACAACAGCCTCAAGGTGAACACGGCGACTGTGCACACATTTACATGAACAAAGTGCATCGAAGGAATCTTACTGTTTAAAGATATATTCAAATAAATAACGTTTTGATTTTGTTAATATGAATCAGTGCGATGGCTCACTTGTGAGGTGAGTATCGAGAGATAAACCCATCCTACATCTTAGTGCACAAGTTGGTGGCTCAAAGATATTTATCTGCCTCGCCTGATATACAGGAGGGTGTTGGTTCAGTTCCGACCCTGATCCCTGCTGTATATTTGGAATTTGCGTATCTCTCTCCCCGTGGTGGCGTGGATATTTCACCGGGTTCTCCAGTTTTTTGCTTTCACATTTAAAAACACGTGCTTAAGAGCATTTGGCTGCTGTACATTTCCACGTGATGATCCACTTTGTTGAGTTATCATTTGTGATAGCCAGATCGCTCCTGAAAAAGATTAATACAGCTCAGTGGGGCTTACATTGTACAGTTCAAATTGGTTAATTGGTGTTAGTTTAAGTGGTCCGGTCTTTGCTCATCAGCTCAAAATAAGGCCAGACGGCAGCCCCTCAAGGCTTTTCAGAAGTACAAGGAGCTTGTTTCCCCGAATAAAGCCTGTAGAGCTAAGAAGCTCTTGTTCAAGTGCGGCAGACATTAACTCGTTCCACAATTACACTCGCCACTCACACTGGCGCATTCACCCCACTCACTCACCAATACACCCACCCACTCACCCACCCACCGTACCACTCACTCACACATACACCCACCCACTCACTCACCCACCGTGCCACTCACTCACACATACACCCACCCACTCACTCACCCACCATACCACTCACTCACTTCATAAACAGAAGTTTGTATTTCCCCCTCGAGTAAAGTCCAATGAGTTAAGAAGTGGCCCGGTCGGCAAACATCATAAAAGCATTCCACAATTACACTCACACACTCACACCACACTCACTCACCTACACACTCGGCCACTCACTTGCTCACTCAGCCACTCACTCACTCGGCCACTCAGTCACTCGCTCACCCACACACGCGCTCACTCGCTCACCCATGCACTCACTCAGCCCCCCACATCACTCGGCCACTCACTCGCTCATCCACCCTCTCAACCACTCACCCACCCACTCTCCCATTGTCACCCACTCACCCAACCACCGGCTCGCCCACTCGCCCACGCACTTCAGAATCACAAGAACCAGAAAGTGTATTTACCCACTGAGCTAAGAGGCTCTTTTTTTTCAAGGGGGAACCCCAGGCCGGCAGATGTGGGCGAGGTTTGTCGTTGGTGGGCTTGGGTCTCGCCAACATGTCCCCGCCACGACAGACCCACGCGTTGCCTCTACCCCCAGTTGGGGTCAGGGGTCGGCAACCCCGAAGTAACAAGAAGAAAAGGCTTCGTTTTTTGTTAGAATTCGTTGGGGTGAGAAGACAACTACAGTCGATCATCGATGATTATCGATGTTTTTTTCTACTTTGAACGCCGCTACCAAGGACAGTATAACGAGAACATGACGGAAGACCACATTTAGGGGCTGATTCGTGAAAGCGATTTACAGTATAATCGTAAATCTCGAAAAAACTTACTCACTTCTAAATCCTTTGTAGTAATTTTTGTATTACTTTAGTGTCGTGGAGTAACACGGACGGGGGGTTTGCAAGCGGTGCGCACGCATGTGAGAGTTGCGGACAGGGAGGTCGCATCAGGGCGAACAGGTGCCGCGAGAGAAAACGACGGGAGGGAGACGGCCAATCAAGATGCATGGCGGTGACTGGCTGGCTGCAAATGCAGGCGGTCAATCAAGATGTAATGGCGGTGTTTGGCTGGCTGCAAATACATTATCTTGGTCGTAACACACGACCAAGATAATGTGTATTCCATAGGATCACAGCCTCACCAACCGCCTTTGTCTTCCAGGAGCCGACACAACACATGGTAGCTAATAAATTACGTATGAAGGGAGGGCCTCTCCTTGAGATAGCAGACACCACGAAGGCGGAGGGGGGAACGCAAACAAAAAACATAAACATGGTGATGGAAAGCAGCCAGTCAAAGGTCAAAAAGGGGGGGGGGGGGGTTAACCAGGCGGCTGCAACGGGAGGACGGTGACAGAGGGCATCTGGTTTTTTTTGCAAGAGACGCAGAGAGGGGAGAGAATTTCACGCATAAGCAAGGACACAGATCACGCAACTTAGTCTGCGAGGGGAAGGCTCCGGGGCATGGCCTCGAGATCAACCATGGGTGTCGTGTCTCGCAGAGAGAAGGGACGATGTGTTGTTAAGAGCTGAGTTCAGCATGAACCGACAGAGTATCGCTGAAAGTTTTATTCTACATTTATCCTGATGTTTTGAGTCGCTTGCAGAATCGAGGATTGCGATAAGTTATATTGTGGATTTAAAGCTTTCGTGACTGCAAGGATTCATCTTCTTTGGTTCTTTCGGTAAAGTCACGTAGAATGAGAATAAAATAATAAAATAACACAATAAAATTCTCACAACGTTTCGGTCACAACGCAAGCGGCCGTCTTCAGGTGAAAGGAACAGACCTGTCGGGACGACATAGCTTCAATGAACGATGTTAAGATTCGTAGCGACTTTTAAGCTGGTTGGGAGAAGTGAGGCACCTTGACAAAGGGGTTTACATATCAAATAGCTGAGGGATTAGCTTGAAACTGGTCACAGGAATGGCTATGTTAAAGTCAAAACCTACACATCCACAGAGGCAAATAGTAATTTAGCATTGAAATAGCTAAGGGATTAACTTGTGCAAATAGCTGAGAGATTAGCTTGTGACTGGTCACAGAAATGGCTATGTTAAAGTCAAAACCTACACATCCACAGAGTCGTAACCCTCCACCACCCAACACGGCCAATCAGCAAAAAAAGTGTCACGTTGACAAAAGACAAATAATTCACTACTTTAGCCCACCGGTGTGTTGAAGAGCGAATCCACAACATTTACAGTTTGAGTACTCAAAGAGCGAATCCACAACATTTACAGTTTGAGTACTCAAACTGTAAATGTTGTGGATTCGCTCTTCAACACACCGGTGGGCTAAAGTAGTGAATTATTTGTCTTTTGTCAACGTGACACTTTTTTTGCTGATTGGCCGTGTCGGGTGGTGGAGGGTTACGACACATTTATAAATAAACGCGATCTAACCCAAAAACCTTTATTATGAATAATATTGGTCGCGAAAGCCTACGTGTTAAACTGACATCCACAGAGGCAACTAGTAATTTAGCATTGAAATAGCTAAGGGATTAGCTTGTGACTGGTCACAGAAATAGATGTTAAAGTAAAGGCCTACACATCCACAGAGCTTCAATGAACGCTGTTAAGATTCGTAGCGACTTTAAGCTGGTTGGGAGAAGTGAGGCCCTTGACAAAAGGGGGTTTGCATATCAAATAGCTGAGTGATTAGCTTGTGACTGGTAACGGAAATGGCTATGTTAAAGTGAAAACCTACACATCCACAGAGGCAACTAGTAATTTAGCATTGAAATAGCTAAGGGATTAGCTTGTGACTGGTCACAGAAATAGATGTTAAAGTAAAGGCCTACACATCCACAGAGGCACCTCGTACATGGACGCCAAAGGGGGCTGCAACAACTCAACTGTCATACAGTAAACCAATGTGAAAACCCTAATTCTAAATTACATCAATATAATAAATGTACTCAATATATTCTTCAATAAGCTGAACTATTAACATGAACTGGGTATACACTACACTATATAATGAATACCATATAGTAAACCAATAAAAATTAAAATATAAACTACCTCAATGTTATATCACAATGTTACATGGTGAAAAACGGGTGCATTCTTACCTTCCACTTCAGCACACGGACAGCTACGAGCCCCGTTCAGACGGACGAGTCCATCCATGGTTGGAGCGGAGGAGGAAGGAGGGGAGAAACAGCTGCGAGGCGCTGTTATACTCCATGTTATAAACCATACCATTAACCGTGGTGTGAGAGGTATTAAGAGTCAGTGCCAGCGAAAGAGCTGCGGTCTGAAGGTCATCGTAAAATACAATTAAGAACCGAAATGGTTTAAAACATCTTTCCAATGGTTACTAAGCCAGAATCCATCTTCTCGGTTGAAATTGTCTCTGTTTGTATATGTGAATGGCCTCATGAACGAATCTCTCATGGTAGCCGGTTGGTTTGGAAAGAACCTCTGTCTTGGAGAAGTCAATGTCATTGACTTCTCCAAGACAGAGGTAATACATTTTAAAACACTTTAAAAAAACAAGCGTTCATGAAATGTACTAGTAATGGCTCCAAAGAATTCCACAACGTAAGGGACCGTGGCCAATTACAGCCAACGTCAGTTGAGCGTGGACAATTAGACCCAAGCCAAAACATAACATATAACAAAGAATGTTTCAAAATATTTATTTGTAATGATATAATACAGTATTGTCATCAGTATGACGTAAGTATTCCAAGTTTGTAGTCGATACCACATTAGGAAGTGGGTAAAAATTGAGTTACAAGATTTGAGGATACAACAGAAAGCGTGTAAAATACGTAAAAACCTGACATCAATACCGTTGTTTTGTATGCTCTGCGAACCGCGCAATGTAATACAAACTCAGCGGGGCCGTGGCGCTGATCAACTGGCCGTCTGTTTTATTGTACAGTACTCCATGGTGCATATTAATGTTGCCCTTAGTCATGGACCCAAGCATGCAGCGAGTGGTGAGAGTGAGTTGTCTGTGGCCCGGAGGAAGGGGGCGTGGCTGGGCTGAACCCCTCCTCCTTCTAACCAGCCCTCCTCCCCCATCATCTCATTGTCATCGTCATTGTAGTTAATACTTTTAATTATAATCATCGTTAATATTAAAGGTATGTAAAGTTAATGTCATGTTTATTTACGTTGTATCATGTTACTGTGTAATGTACCATACACAGTAGCATGGTTTAGTAACTAAACAGACAACTTAGTTCAGCTGTGGCGAGTCTGACCTCGGCTGTGGTTACCCTAACCCCCTATAACCCACAGGCCCCCTGTAACTTTACCAACCCCGAGGGTTTTTAAGGAACCTGAACCCACGCGGTTGGCCAGGGAGCTACTCTACATACAGTGACGGAAAAAAAGTATTTGATCTCCTGCTGATTTTGTACGTTTGCCCACTGACAAAGAAATGATCAGTCCATAATTTTAATGGTAGGTTTATTTGAACAGTGAGAGACAGAATGACGACAACAAAATCCAGAAAAACGCATGTCAAAAATGTTATAAATTGATTTGCATTTTAATGAGGGAAATAAGTATTTGACCTCCTCTCAATCAGAAAGATTTCTGGCTCCCAGGTGTCTTTTATACAGGTAACGAGCTGAGATTAGGAGCACACTCTTAAAGGGAGTGCTCCTAATCTCAGCTTGTTACCTGTATAAAAGACACCTGTCCACAGAAGCAATCAATCAATCAGATTCCAAACTCTCCACCATGGCCAAGACCAAAGAGCTCTCCAAGGATATCAGGGACAAGATTGTAGACCTACACAAGGCTGGAATGGGCTACAAGACCATTGCCAAGCAGCTTGGTGAGAAGGTGACAACAGTTGGTGCGATTATTCGCAAATGGAAGAAACACAAAAGAACTGTCAATCTCCCTCGGCCTGGGGCTTCATGCAAGATCTCACCTCGTGGAGTTGCAATGATCATGAGAACGATGAGGAATCAGCCCAGAACGACACGGGAGGATCTTGTCAATGATTTTAAGGCAGCTGGGACCATAGTCACCAAGAAAACAATTGGTAACACACTACGCCGTGAATGATTGAAATCCTGCAGCGCCCGCAAGGTCCCCCTGCTCAAGAAAGCACATATACATGCCCGTCTGAAGTTTACCAAAGAACATCTCAATGATTCAGAGGACAACTGGGTGAAAGTGTTGTGGTCAGATGAGACCAAAATGGAGCTTTTTGGCATCTACTCAACTCGCCGTGTTTGGAGGAGGAGGAGGAATGCTGCCTATGTCCCCAAGAACACCATCCCCACCGTCAAACATGGAGGTGGAAACATTGTGCTTTGGGGGTGTTTTTCTGCTAAGGGGACAGGACAACTTCACTGCATCAAAGGGACGATGGACGGGGCCATGTACCGTCAAATCTTGGGTGAGAACCTCCTTCCCTCAGCCAGGGCATTGAAAATGGGTCGTGGATGGGTATTCCAGCATGACAATGACCCAAAACACACGGCCAAGGCAACAAAGGAGTGGCTCAAGAAGAAGCACATTAAGGCCCTGGAATGGCCTAGCCAGTCTCCAGACATTAATCCCATAGAAAATCTGTGGAGGGAGCTGAAGGTTCGAGTTGCAAAACGTCAGCCTCGAAACCTTAATGACTTGGAGAAGATCTGCAAAGAGGAGTGGGACAAAATCCCTCCTGAGATGTGTGCAAACCTGGTGGCCAACTACAAGAAACGTCTGACCTCTGTGATTGCCAACAAGGGTTTTGCCACCAAGTACTAAGTCATGTTTTGCAGAGGGGTCAAATACTTATTTCCCTCATTAAAATGCAAATAAATTTATAACATTTTTGACATGCGTTTTTCTGGATTTTGTTGTTATTCTGTCTCTCACTGTTCAAATAAACCTACCATTAAAATTATAGACTGATCATTTCTTTGTCAGTGGGCAAACTTCCAAAATCAGAAGGGGATCAAATACTTTTTTTCCCTCACTGTACATACAGAGGTCGCATGGGCGACCAATCTGATAGGAGCCTCTCATCTCTAATGACGAGAGTCTGAGTACGGCAACGGGCATATTGAGAGACTTTCACCCAGCACGGCCATTGCAGGGTACAGCTCTCGATCAAATTTTCCGTGAAATCGATGCAGCAGCGACATGGAGTCGGCGCTGTAGAATGACAAGACGCCCGCCTCCCAGTCCAGGTGAACCCCGACTCTTTTGGGAGCATCTCGCACCGGCAGTTTTATTTCCGTCTCGTTATGTACCGCCTTGTAGGCGTTGCCCCATTTCCTTAGGCTCCACGAAACTTCATTGCACCCAATTTTACAAGGCTTTGGCATCACCTTTCCGTGGTATCGCGTCATACGTGACACCAATGATGAATTTCTCACAACCTCTCACGTCCACCTCCCAGTAGTGGCGACCCGATGAGAATTTCTCAGAGCAAATGACCACTTGGTAGTGGTCGAATCTGTCTGAGTTGTCAGGGTAATGTTGGGTGTGTGTGGAGGTCCTGACGGTTTTCAAGTCGGCAGAAATCTGGAGGTTCCAATGTGCCGTGTTTGGGTTCAGAGTCGGCGAGCAAGTGCCTGTAAACAATAATAATGCAAATATTGTGTTAAGCGAACATTGTTTACTTTTGAAAAATATGCTTTTCAATTGGCAATATATCAGTAAAAAGTATAAGTGGATTCATCTTCATCTGGAATCCATCTATACGGGGAATACGTGTTACCTGCTTCATACTTATTGTTTGGTGTTGATGCAACTCGCTGCTCCCGTGTCCCTACTAGACCTGTCAAAAAGCGCTTCACAGCTCATCGGATTCCTCATCCAGGATAAGGTTTCTTATACTCGTGGGTTTTTTCCATGTTTACTGCCACAATGCATGAACGCATTTTCGCTTAATGCGGCGCTTTTTATCAACGCATCTACCACGCTAAACGATGACTTATTGCACTGCATTACGGGTTCACATCTCATACGGATATCTTTATCGTCCATCAGCATTAGAGTTGAGTGACAAAGATGATGCATTCATACACTCAGCAATGCACGTTGTGTGGCGTGTACAGCATATCACGTACTCGACTCTCTCCGCATTTTCAGGAATGCTTCTTGCTTTTTACGATGTTGATGCAGAATCCCTTTGAGTTGCGGGCTCTCTTCCTGCTTGCGATCGAGACGTCGTATGATGAAGTCAGCTCGTGCTGACGCACGGGGTAACGAATAGACTTCTGAGAGCTCGGATTGCGTGATGAGACCCTGGACGAGCAACTCGTGATGTAGCATTGCAGGGCTCCTACCGATCAACTCTCGTGCCACCGAAGGTTCCTCCATCCTCGTTCTGAGCAATGCATCTTTCCTCTCACCCTTCTCTTCATCGGTGTTGTTTGTGCGATGAACTCCACTGTTTGCAAAGTGATCACAAATCTGAATGTCTTCTCTGCTCTCATCCACAGTCAGGTTCTTGAATGTTTGAGCTGTTAAAATATTTGTAAGAATTAACAAAACAAATTTGAGTTCTAAAATTGCAATGAATGCCTTCGTCACGATTTTTCTTATCATCATACGTTATTTGTAAGTCATCGCTGGGAGGTCACCCCAGGCCACGACCATTTATTAGGATCTTGCGCTGACAATCAATTTCACTCTAACAATATATTTCTGCACATTAACTGATATCACTCAATCTCCGTCTCTGTCACCAAGAGCCATCACTGCTTTTATCAATGTGTCCACAACCACTCTTTGCTTTATACATTCTCTATATATCTCCCAGTATAATATAGAACAACCACCTTCTCTATCCCATTATGTACTTTTTGGACTTTTGCTTCATTTCAGTTTTCATAATTCGGCATCTGTGCTCACGATTTTTAGACTTAATTTGAAAAAGAAGAAAATCCGAAAATAAAGCCTGGATACGAAATTTCAGACAATTGGATGTTGTTGTTGTAGTTGTTTGTTTGTTTCAGAATGAGACAATCTGCCTTCTTCGCAGTGTTACGGACACTGCCGCAGTGTTTCAGGAACCACCACTGTGTGTGCGTTCTGCAGAAACACAGAGCTCGGAGATACCCTCGCTCCCAGCTTCACGCACTACTGCTATTACCTTGCGTCTAGACTCACTCGCCTTCACTATTCCTGCCACACACAGACATAGCAGGTGAAGTTGGGCCAAATAACCTCCACGACTGACCCATAGGAAGTGGGTGGTCACTCACCCAGCAGTGGATTGACAAAGGGGATGTTCACGTGCTCTACTGCTGTGGCTACATCGCCTGCATGCACACTCGGTGGCGACGATTCTGAACCGTGTTATCCTGGGTATGAATACACTCCAAGTCAGTGTCAAGGATTCCCTATGCGTGACACGCCCTTGTACTCACCTTCATAAATCGTGACTGAGCCCGACTTCACCTGCATAGCCGGACAGAGCGGCCCACTTGGAATGTCGTTGAATGAGTGCAACAGCTCCATGGTGTTGCCGTTGTAAAACGAAAGTTTTCCTGCGTTAAAGTCCAAGTGAACGCCGACTCTCTGTAAATGTTTAATCTCTGGATAAGGTATAGATTGGTCGCCATGTCTTGCAGAGTAATTTGAATCCCATTGAATGAACGCCCAAGACTGCTCATTCCAGCCCAGCCTGCCAGACTTTTCGTGACGATTCCGAGGAATCGACTCACGTGCGACGCCTATAGAACAGTTTCTAGAGGCTCTCACGTCCACTTCCCAGTAGTGGTCACCCGACGAGAAGGTCTCGAAGCAGAGGACTATTGGCCACCACTCAAACCTTTCTATGTGATCAGAGTAAGGCTGCTCTTCCTGGTTCCACGTCACTGTGCTGAGATCAGCAGAAATTTGAAGCTGTTGATGTGCCGAGTTGGGGTTCAGAGTGGGCGAGCACACATCTACAAGATAAGCAAATCATCGTGTAAATCTTTACAATCACAACTCAGTTTTTTTGCTCGTTATCGTCAGCCATGATTAAGTTGTCGCCATGAGAGGCAAAGCTGCACCTGAACAATTCTTCCCCATGCCACCGCTGGTGGAATGATCTCGACAAGAAGCAGCTTCAGAGCCCCACCTCGAGGGTATTTTGACCCTCCCTTCCAAGCTGGTTACATTTGCCGCAGTGGCTAGGAGATATTAACTACCTCGCCTGGTATGCATGAGGTCATGCGTTCAATCTCAACCCTGACTCCTATTTTATATGTAGAGTCTGTGTGTGTCTCTCTCCCCGTGGATTTTTCTCCACATTCAGAATCAATATTACGCGTTTAGAGTATTAGGCTGCTTTAAATGTCAACATGATGATGATATCAGCTACCTGGTTGATCTATCATTTGCGATGGCCAGCTCGCTTCTGAAAAAGAGCGGTTACATAGCAGGGCAGAGGGGCCTTACCCGGTAAAATTAAATAGTTTCGTTTAAAAAAAATAGTTTTAGTTTAGTTTACTCCACTACCGGTGACCACTCATTGTGCTGTAGCCAGGGATATTGCCTCGTCGTGTACCAAACCTTTACACCGCGGCAGTATTGGAGCACGTGGTGCTGTGCTGTGTTGCTTGAACATTGATTATCGAGGCTCCCCGGAATGCAAGCAGACAATTGAGGAATACTAAGCCAACTTTTTAAGAAATGCATTCAAACTATTGCATTGCCCAAAGCTACACCGAACTGCTGATGTATGTTAATATACGCATGGAGCTACTGCCGGTGATTATATCAGCTCGCGAGCGAGTGCTAAGTGGATTGTTGCATAGCAGGGTCGTGGGGGGTATTGGAGGCTTGGGGAGACCTTCATCCAACAGTGGATTGACCTTGGCTGATGATGATTTAAAGGGGATGAGTATGACATGTATCCACTGTCCACTGAGATCGGCCTAAATTAGTCGCAACTTTTTTTGGCCACTCCACCACTGCCCCACCTGTGAAGGATTTCCCACTTGAGACGCTGGGACTGAGGACCTGCGATGCTGAGACTTAGTGAACCCATTTCTCTGTTGTGATCACCTTTTTCGTCGTTGTTGTTTGTGTCTCTTTAGTTTTGGTGACATTTATGTATTTGATTATTATTTAACTTTCTGTGGATGTTCATATGCTCGGTAATTGCTATATATAATAGGATTTCGATTTAAAGCTTTCGTGACTACAATGATTAATCTTCTTTGGTTCTTTCGGTAAAGTCACATAGAATGAGAATAAAATAATAAATTGATAAAATAAAATAACACAATAATATTCTCACGACGTTTCGGCCACAACACAAGCGGCCTTCATCAGGTGAAGGGACGAGACTGTCTGGTAGGACAGCGCTGTCCTCCAGACCGAAACGTCGTGAGAATATTATTGTGTTATTTTATTTTATCAATTTATTATTTTATTCTCATTCTACGTGACTTTACCGAAAGAACCAAAGAAGATAATAGGATTTGTACAGTGCTGTGGGATATAATTAGCATGAATATCGCGATATTAAATACAATTATTAATGTAAAGTGCCCCGGTCTGAAACAATAAAAAAGTCTACGTTTAATGGATTGCAATGCTGACGAGAGTGTAAAGTGTACGCACGGCTCGTCTTCAGCATGTCCAGGAAATGCCGTTCCCTGCTCCGCTGTTGTTCGAGTGTCTCCAGCAGCTCTCGGCGTTTGCCTTCCCCTCGTATCATGACGGGCAACAGGATTGAGTCCACACGCATGGCGGCGGTGGGAATTGTAAACGCCTTCCAGTACTCCTCTTCTGTAACCACATTCCTCCTCTTCAGCTCGTGGAGGAAAAGGGAGGGAGTTTTGCCGATCCACTCTCGCAACTCTGGCAACTCCCTCTTGATGTCCTTCCAGTTGCCCTCTTGATCTTCCGTGATCATTTGACCGATGAAATCCTCTGCGCTTTGCTAGAGTAAAGGCACGGCAAGTGAGTGAGCAACAATCGCCAGATCATCATCACGCACAACACGGCTGACCAATAGGGAGCCATCCCTCGATCGCACCCGAGCATCGATCAACATCCCATTTTACATTTACCAGATGGGCATTCCTCCTGTACAGCATTGGAATGCCCAGGGAAGGAAAACCTCTCCACTCTCTCCACAATTGATCTCCCCATAGAATGCTAGTTACTTCCTCCCCGTGCCCCCCCCCCCCCCCCCCCCCCGATATATCTACATATATGTAAAAGTCAAAAGTTGCGTGTGGGTTTGTGGGGGGGGTTTGTGTGTGGTCACGCGCTTGGCTCTCCAACGGTGGGGATTACGTAGAAAATAAAATAGCTAGGTACTACGCTGTAAGCCCCGCGGTGAGAAAGCTCTATTCCTTTTTCACATCCGTCAACTTTAAATTTGTTTAATTAGCGATTTAGTGCGATTTTTGTGCGATTCCCTTTCATTTATTAATTTATGTCGCGTGCACGACCATACCAACTCACGCGCATTTGGTGGGGGGACGGCCCACGCCAAGTCGCACGACTTCGGTGGGAGTGAGGGGGACATTTTCTTTCGTGTTAAAAATCCTATAAAAATACACTAAATGCTCAGGTAAATTCTTCACTGTCTCATGTCCCCCCCCCACCCTGATGCGTGCAGTTATTACTACTATACAGTTGCTAGATGCTACCACTATAGGCCGTAGATATTACTGCAGAGCGGTCGGGAACATCGTGCCTGAGGGGGGGGGGGGGGGGAGTCAAGTGTAGCAGCCCAGCCTGCCAAGGTGCCACCTCGGCCGGCTGGACAATCTAGGCGAGGCCGGAGGCTCTTCATGGGACTAGGCCTCACCACGCCACTCTGTCAGGTGAGTACTTTGTGCTATCCAGTCGATAAATAAACACTGCTATAGAGTCAGTATACACTGCTGTAGTCATAGCAGGTACCACCACAGTCGGTATGCACTGCTGTAGTGATAGCAGGTACCACCACAGTCAGCATGCACTGCTGTAGTGATAGCAGGTATCACCGCAGTCAGTATGCGCTGCTGTAATCATAGCAGGTACCACCACAGTCAGTATGCACTGCTGTAATCATAGCAGGTACCACCACAGTCAGTATGCGCTGCTGTAATCATAGCAGGTATCACCGCAGTCAGTATGCACTGCTGTAATCATAGCAGGTACCACCACAGTCAGTATGCACTGCTGTAATCATAGCAGGTACCACCACAGTCAGTATGCACTGCTGTAATCATAGCAGGTACCACCACAGTCAGTATGCACTGCTGTAATCATAGCAGGTACCACCGCAGTCAGTATGCACTTCTGTAATCATAGCAGGTACCACCACAGTCAGTATGCACTGCTGTAATCATAGCAGGTACCACCACAGTCAGTATGCACTGCTGTAATCATAGCAGGTACCACCGCAGTCAGTATGCACTTCTGTAATCATAGCAGGTACCACCACAGTCAGTATGCACTGCTGTAATCATAGCAGGTACCACCACAGTCAGTATGCACTGCTGTAATCATAGCAGGTACCACCACAGTCAGTATGCACTGCTGTAATCATAGCAGGTACCACCACAGTCAGTATGCACTGCTGTAATCATAGCAGGTACCACCACAGTCAGTATGCACTGCTGTAATCATAGCAGGTACCACCACAGTCAGTATGCACTGCTGTAATCATAGCAGGTACCACCACAGTCAATATGCACTGCTGTTAGATTTTTCAGAGTAGTTTTGAAATATTTTTAAGACCCCCGGCAATGCCGGGTACTTCCCGCTCGTATTTATATAAAAGCTACAACTCTACACCACCATCAGAAAACACCTTCAAGGGTGGACACCGAGAATTCCTTTCCCACACCTTCACAACACTTCAAGCACCTAAAGTCCCCCTCCTCCCCTCCCCCACCATCTTTCTGAACCCTCCCCCACCACCTTCCTCCAGAAAATCATGGACCCGTTGTGTCGGCGCTTACCACCATAACGAAAAACACAACAACAACAAGAGAGGAGGATAGTAACGTGGAATGACTTACCTTCATTGCATCATGACTGGAGACACTAGTGCACTGTGAATCATCTCCCAACAGCTGGAAGCATATGAAGAGGGGGGGGGGAAAGTTAAAGTTGACAACCAAAAAATAGAAACTTTTCTACTGCAATGAAGGCGCTTCATAATGAACATGCATTCCACATGTGGCAGTAACCTTGTCTTGCTCGTCGGCAATGTCACGTGAACATTGATTCAGATCACAGCCGGTCACCCGACTTCTCACTCGATTCGAATACTCAATTGCTGCCCCGGCCACCCGTATCAACACATCAACTTTCATCAATAACGTAAGAAAAGATACAGCCACGTCTCTCTATCTCGCTGTCCTCCTCCTCCTCCAATCTCGAGCCTTGTAACCCTCCTTGGCCTCCTCGCTCGCCTGCCTCGTCCACGCCCACCCCACACTTCCAGCCTGCCACCACGCCCCTACCGGAACTGTCTCCATGGCGACCCTGCCTCGTCTCAACTCCTACCCAGCCCCTCCACGATTTTTGGTCATTGCGCGTGACATATGTACATTGTTTTGAAGGATTCGGTTATTGTTCCAAACGTTTTGGTAAACGTTGATCTTACATTGCTGCTGTGCGTTGTAGCTATCACATGGCAGGCTGTTTTTTTTTAATTATCAGATTCGAGAACCACCGGTTAAACACACAAAGTGATCAGCTGCCACTTGCGTGGCATAGCTCCGCCATCACTGAACACACCGTGACGGGAAAGATGCTCGCGTGAAGATATTCCGAGTGCTTTGATCATAGACGAACATACAGCCGTACGTTTTGGCTCAACCTTTTTTTAAAAGGATATTCAGGGTATGAACAACGAAGGCCAATTGCCTTTTAAATGAAGACAATGATAATACATTCCACGTGTAATGAGTCCACCAGACGAAGGTTGAGACGGCACAGCTCCTCTTTGTTTTCCGCACGAGCTCACACCACGTGTGGACCACTCCACTCCAAATCCCGCCAGGAAGCCGCCCCCCGATCGCCCCGCCTCATCCGGTGACGTCACCGCTCCCCTCGTGGGCGTTCCCTCTCTCTCACGCCCCGCCCTCTCTTTCCCTTCGTCCGTGACGTCATCTTTAATAGGAACCTGGGATCCCGTGGGTGTTTTGACCCCCCGGATCACGTGAGTATTAACACGACACATGAAGTGGCGCATTTACTCCGTAGATCCCAATGCACCACCGTGTATGGAAAACAGGAAATATACAGAACGCGCAGGGAAGATGGCCAGAACTAGGTGGGTAAATCCTGATTCACCCAATCATCCACTCAGTCACCCACTCACTCACCCACTCACTCACCCACTCACTCACCCACTCACTCAACCACTCAACCACTCACTCAACTGCACACCCACTAACTCACCCACTCACTCTCTCACCCACTCAACCACTCACTCACACAGTCACTCACTCAACCTCTCACCCACTCACTCAACCTCCCACTCACCCACTCACTAAACCACTCACTCAACCACTCACTCAACCACTCACTCACTCACCCACACACCCACTCACTTATCCACCCAATCAGCCACTCACCCACTCAGCCACTCACCCACCCACCCACTCACTCACCCACCCACGCACTCAACCACACACATACCCACTCACTAGGCCGATCACCCCAGGATCAGAGCCTTGATCTCGGAGTCCTTAGAGAGAAGGAAATCCGAAGATCTGAGGGACCTCGTTGGAGAGTCAACACGGACCGGTTGCTGCAGATTATAATAACGTGGTCTGCTGAGCTTCTCATTCAGCAGTGGCATCAATAACAGGAGTCTTTTTCGGTTAGGTCACATAGACATAGCGAGGTGGAATGACTTACGCGCTCTTCATCTGAATTCAAAAGTGTGGTCTCACTTGTAGAGCTTTCTATGTAAGAGAAAAAGATACATTATAAAGCATCGCTATATATGCTTGAGAATTATACATTACATCATATAGACCTGTCCTGATGGGCTTATGTTGATGGTGACGATGATTATAATATTATTCTCTTCTTCATATGGCTTAAAGCAAGGGGTCCCCAACCCCCGAGTCACGAACCGATAGCGGTCCGTGGCCTGTTAGGAACCGGGCCGCACAGCAGGAGGTGAGAGCAGCGAGTCCACGCGTGGCCCGCCCCCATTATCTTATTATGGACCACTTCCGTCCGCGCCTCTTCCCCGCACTGAGCGCTTGTCTCAGTCACGTGGTGTTGGTGAGCCCCACGAGCTCTAACCCCTAGTAGCCACAATGAGTAAACAATAAACGTCGCTGGGGAGCTTTTTTGTAAAAGGGGGAAAGACCAAATGATGAACCACCCCCCCCCCCCCCCGGTCCGTGAAAAAATTGTCTTCCACGAAACCGGTCCCTGGTAACAAAAAAGTTTGGGGACCGCTGGCTTAAAGGGCTAATTTGAAATGTAAAATCACACCCACTCAAGGATGTTCACTAGTCTGGAACATCGGCCGACGATGCTGATTCAAATAATTACCAGCAAAACGTGACGGTACTTAAATTGTAAATGTTGTGGATTTACTCTCCAACACACTGATGGGCTGAAGTAGTATACTACACTATACACTACACTATACGCTACATTATACACTACACTATACACTACACTCTACACTACACACTACTACACTACACACTACTACACTATACACTACTACACTATACACTACTACACTATACACTACTACACTATACACTACTATATGCTACACTACTATACATTATACTAATATACACTACACTATACACTACACTGTACACTACTATACACTACACTATACACTACACTATACAATACACTATACACTACACTATACACTACACTATACACTACACTACTATACACTGCACTATACACTACTATACGCTACACTACTATACATTATACTAATATACACGACACTACACAGTGATGATGATGAGAGAGAGACATGCAAACTCCAAATATACAGCAGCAGGCATCGTCAGGGTCTGGCATCAAACCAACGTCCTCCTGCGTACCAGGCGAGGGAGTCAACATCCTCCTAGCCACGGTGACTTACCCCAGGGGAAGTGTTTGCGGTGGATTCTGTAGAGAAGGAGGCCCACGGTCACCACAAGTAGAATGGTGATCACGGCAACACCGATTAGAGCACTGATGAGAGCTCCAGCAACGTCTGAGGATCGTACACGTATAGTAGAGTAGTGTATAGTGTAGTGTATAGTAGAGTATAGTGTAGTGTATAGTAGTGTATAGTGTAGTGTATAGTAGTGTATAGTGTAGTGTATAATGTAGTGTATAGTGTAGTGTATAGTAGTGTATAGTGTAGTGTATAGTAGTGTATAGTGAAGTGTGTGTCGTGTATAGTGTAGTGTATAGTGTAGTGTATAGTAGAGTATAGTGTAGTGTATAGTGTAGTGTGTGTGCAGTGTATAGTGTAGTGTATAATGTAGTGTATAGTGTAGTGTATAGTAGTGTATAGTGTAGTGTATAGTAGTGTATAGTGAAGTGTGTGTCGTGTATAGTAGAGTAGTGTATAGTGTAGTGTATAGTAGAGTATAGTGTAGTGTATAGTAGTGTATAGTGTAGTGTGTGTGCAGTGTATAGTGTAGTGTATAATGTAGTGTATAGTGTAGTGTATAGTAGTGTATAGTGTAGTGTATAGTAGTGTATAGTGAAGTGTGTGTCGTGTATAGTGTAGTGTATAGTAGAGTATAGTGTAGTGTATAGTAGTGTATAGTGTAGTGTGTGTGCAGTGTATAGTGTAGTGTATAATGTAGTGTATAGTGTAGTGTATAGTAGTGTATAGTGTAGTGTGTAGTAGTGTATAGTGAAGTGTGTGTCGTGTATAGTGTAGTGTATAGTGTAGTGTATAGTAGAGTATAGTGTAGTGTATAGTGTAGTGTGTGTGCAGTGTATAGTGTAGTGTATAATGTAGTGTATAGTGTAGTGTATAGTAGTGTGTAGTGTATAGTAGTGTATAGTGAAGTGTGTGTCGTGTATAGTAGTATAGTGTAGTGTATAGTAGAGTATAGTGTAGTGTATAGTAGTGTATAGTGTAGTGTGTGTGCAGTGTATAGTATAGTATAGTGTATAGTAGTGTATACTGAAGTGCGTGTAGTGTATAGTAGTGTATAGTGTAGTGTGTATAGTGTAGTTTATAGTAGTGTATAGTGTAGTGTGTATAGTGTAGTATGTGTAGTGTATAGTAGTGTGATTTGTTGTGTCTAGTTGTGTGGTGTGTAGTGGCTCGTAGTGTATTGTCTAGTAGTGTAGTGTAGTTGTACTGTAGAGTAGTTGTATCGTAGTGTAGTTGTATCGTGTAAAGTGTAGTGTAATAAATACATAGGATTTCACGAAACAAAGTACATTGTAACTTCACCTAAAAAAAAGTTATGGTCAACCCCAGGCTAAAAACCACCACTGGTGGAGTGAATTGTCACGGTGCAATTGCCATCAGTTCCTCTCTTGCGTAGCAACGAGGTCACAGGAGCCTTCAACCCCTGACGTGGCCCCAAGAGTGAACCTAGCCTGGCACAGGTGCTGTGCGGACGTCACCGCCACTTAGCGGTGAGCGACTGCTGTTGTTGTTTGTCCATCGCGAGAGATGGCAACGAATTGTGGGTAGGGGTATGGGTGGTTGGCCTTCACACTCAGCACTTGCAACATGAAGGTTATTTGTTGTGTCCTGCTCTAAAAACAACATACACAACCGAGGATCAACGCTACAATTTGCAGAATAGGTTAGACCCTTGACTTGAAGCTTTCGTGACTGCAGGAATTATTATTCTTTGGGTCTTTCGGTAAAGTGACGTAGATAGGTTCAAAGAAAATAACAAAAAATAACAAAAAAACTACGACGTTTCGATCGCGACACAAGTGATCATCATTAGGTGGGAAGCTAAGCGACATGTCTCGGACCGTGTTCGTGAGCATAAGGCAGATTGGAAACACGGGAGGACCAATACTTCAGCCATGGTGGATCATTGTTTTCATGCGGTTGGCTAACACGAAATTAACTTCTCTAAGACAGAGGTACTTTGCAAGCCCACTGGCTATCTACAAAGATTCGTTAATGAAGCCATCCATATTTTACAGACAGACACAATTTCAACCGAGAGGATGGGTACACACTCAGCAATCATTGGAAGGACGTCGTCAACCAGTTTAAGTCATAACTGGCTGTGATATTTACATCTTGTCACCTTCCGATGTTCGTTTTATTTTACTAAAGACGGGACGAGCAATTCGAGTTCCTGCCGTGTCTCCCTTGCGTTGGGCGCACCACAAGTTGTATTCTTGGTTCTTTGGGTAAAGTCACCACCACGTAGAAGGGAAACAATAAAATAATAAAAAATATATGAAACAATAACATTCTCACGACGTTTCGACTGCAGCACAAGAAGCAATCATCATCAGGTGTGAAAACCACAGCAAGAAATGTTTTAAAAATTGGCTTTTTTAACGTTAGCACCACGGAGAGCGATTTGGCAGCCATTCAGATGGACGAGTCCATCTATAAATTTTGATTTAAAGCTTTCGTGACTGCAGTAATTCATATTCTTAGTTTTTTCGGTAAAGTCACGTTGAAGAGAAACAACAAAATAACAAAATATATATAAAACAATAAAAAATTCTCACGACGTTTCGACCATAACTCAAACGGTCATCATCAGGTGTGTCGGTTTGCATAAATTTATTTTGAAAACGGCATATTTATTTATATATATATAAAATAACGTTTGCGTCACGCGCAACGATTGGCTGTTTGCCAGGACTAGTCCATCTATTTTTTGAAAAGAGGAGGGGGGAGACGAAATTTGTTTTTATGTATGCTGTCTGAAAGGCACTGTAAGCGTGAACAATCAATCAAGAACTGAAATGATTTATCAAATCTTTCCAATGATTGCTAAGATAGAATCCATCTTCTCGGTTGAAATTGTCTCTGTGTTTGTATATGTGGATAGCCTCATGAACGAATCTCTCATGGAAGCCAGATGGCTTACAAAGAACCTCCGTCTTGGAAAAGTCAATGGCATGTGAGCCTACTGAATTAGAACAATGATCTGCTACGGCCGAGGTGTTGGTCCTACCGTGTTTAAGGTCTGCTTTATGTTCACGAATGCGGTCCGAGATATGGCGTTTGGTTTCTCCAATGTAACTACTACCACAGAGGCAACTTAGTTTGTAGACACCAGGGTATTGTATGTCCGGAATCACATCTTTTACAGACGGAACCAGATCACGGATTTTATGTAATGTGTTGAAACGGACCTGGATCTTGTGTTTATTCAAGATTTTGGAGATCTTTTTTGTGATCCCAGCAATGTAGGGAAAAGTGATGGTTTTGAAAGGCTCCTCAAGAGGGTTCTTCTTCATGGTTTGAGTGATAGCTTTGCGGATTGTATAGTCGGAGTAACCATTAGCCCTAAGAGCTTGGTGTACGTGCTTGAGTTCACTGCTTATGTGTTCCTGGTCGGATATGCATTGGGCTCTATGATACAGAGTCTTGATGAGAGAATTCTTCTGTGATGGATGGTGGTGGGAATCCGGTTTCAGATAAGCATCCGTATGGGTAGCTTTCCTGTAGACAGAGTGGCTCATTGAACCATCAGGTCTCTTTTTAATTAGGACATCCAAAAAAGGTATCTTGCCATCTATTTCGACTTCCATGGTAAATCTGATGGCTGGGTGTATGGAATTGATGTGGTCGAAGAATTGGTCTAGAGCAGGCCGACCATGTGGCCAGATGACAAAAGTGTCATCCACGTACCTCTTCCATAAGGTTGGGCGCAGAGTGGCAGTCTGGATGGCGTCAGTCTCAAATTTCTCCATGAAAATGTTAGCTATAACTGGAGAAAGGGGGGAGCCCATTGGGGTGCCCTCAGTTTGTTTGTAGAAAGTTCCATTCCAAGTGAAGTATGTATTGGTTAAACAGTGTCTCACCAGGGGGGGTACCTCAGTGTTTAGTCCTTGATGAACCAAGTCTTCAATGATTGCAATGGTGTCAGGTACAGGAACCTTGGTGAATAAGGAAACTACATCAAAACTGACAAGCAGGTCGTCTGGGGACAGGGAAATACCCTTGATTGTTGATACCAGGTGAGTAGAATTTTGTACCGCAGAGGTGGTCTTTCCAGTGAAAGGACGCAGGATTTCAGACAAAAAACGAGCTAGTTTGTAGGTGGGGGAGCTGATAGTAGAGACTATGGGACGAAGAGGTGTATCAACTTTATGTATTTTTGGTAAGCCGTATAATCTTGGTGGCCTGGCAGCAGAAGGTTTCAACGAAAACTGTTTAGATTGATCAATTAATGCGGTTGAATCAGAAATTATTTTGTTGGTTTGTGTGACGAGGCTGTTGGTGGGATCTCTTTTTTTTATTTTTGTATAACTACCATCGTCGAGTAATTCTTTAATTTTGTTGTTGTATTCTATTTTATCCATGATAACAGTAGCATTGCCTTTGTCAGCTGAGAGAACTACAATATCATTCCTCTTTTTTAATTTATATAATTCAAAACGCTCATCTTTGCTGAGGTTGCTAGCTGGCATCTTAGCGTTTTTGAGGGTTGCAGCGATTTCAGATCTTGCTACGTCTGCAGCGATGTGACCCAGGCCCCTGAGAGCAACGTCTACTTGGGCAATTATATCATTAACTGGTATGTGTTTAGGTGTGACTGCAAAGTTTAGACCTTTAGCTAAAACGGATTTCAGACCATCGGAAATAGAACTGTTACTGCGATTAATTACGACTTTATTAACGTCTAACTTTTTGGTGTGTGGGTCCAGTCTTTTGTTGAAGAGGAGGTTAAATTTGGAAATCAGGTTTTCCTTACATTTGGTCGACATAGTAGCAGCTGAAGAGGCAGTCATATTGTCTACATGTTCCCAATCCGATGTGGACATTATTGCCGTCAATGATAAGTGTGATTTGTAGAGTGTCTTGTCTAACTGATCTAGTTCTGTGCGTATAAGTCTGATTTTTTCTGAGATAAGAGCTAAGCTAGTTTTGAAAAGAATTCGTTTCGCATTAGAAGAAGTTACAGTAGCTGAGGTGAGTGTAAATGCGATTGGTATTACCCCAGAGTCGCGGCATCTCTTCAGGAAGGTGAGAGACTCGATCAGCTGAGCTTTCTTATCCCGGAGTTTGTTGAAGGATCTTAAAGTTATGTG